GGGGGGGGGGCTTTCCTTCATCCACCCATTTCTATAGTGATTTTTTTGTGGAATTTATAACTATGACTGATTTATCTAAATAATGGACAACTTTTCAAGTGATTAATTTACACTTCTCTTCTGTTTTGAAGATATGCTAGGATCAAACTAACGTTTAAATTTTTTTTCTCTTCCAAACAAGCTCAACATTGTCCCCACAGACACACACATGCTTGCAAGTGTGCATCCAGCCCATGATTCCAAAAAAGCTTAACAGAACCAAGTTTTCAATCAACGAAACTAACTTATAGGCAAGTGCTGAAACACTCGAGGTAAGTGCATCTGAACAAACAACCATTTGTGTATTTTCTGGATGTAGTATATTCTGCAAGCCTTAAATGTACACAATTCAGAGAGATTATTTAAACAAGAGAGGCACAAACAAAGATCAATCGGTCAGTTGGTCCTTTCTGAAACATTTAAAGCATTGGGAAGGAAAAGAAAGACTTGTAAGTAGATGTTAAAATAATGGTAGTTCCACCCTTTATATATTCTCAGTTCAGTAGTAAAAAGGTCAGGAAAGATTTGGGGAATAATATTGTACTTAGCCACCAAAACCCTAAGACTTCTAGTCACATATCTACAATGAAAGGAACCTCTAATGATCAGTGAATCACAGAAATAATTCTAGCTACTACCCACCTGTGAACATTTTCACGAAGTCATTGCTGGACATGCTCATAATTACATCAGCTTTCACAGGAGGCTCTCCAGAACCTGTGTTCCCACCTTTGTTTTTAAGATCAATGTACCAAGTTCCTCCCTCTTCACCTACACAGAAGGCAATGGAAACAAGTTACAGCACGTTAGGTAAGAGTCACATTGTCTGCAAGATGAGCATTCATGTCAGTGTGGAAAAAGATAGTTTTCATAAACTGCTAAGTTTTTTTTAAACACTTTTGAGTTGCATAAACTAAGAAGTTCCACATCCTCCATCACATGGAAGATGTCAAGCATAAATCATCATTTTTCACTGTACCTTTGAATAAGCCATGAAAACACTGAATGAATTTTACTGTAAGCTTATGCATATAGGGATTCAACAAAAGAACCTCCTTCTTACCGGATAACTCAAAAAGAAAGACACCTTGGGTAGATTTTACAACATCTTCATTAATTATTCCCTCAATAATTTTAAACGTTTCTGCAACAGACTCCAAAGGCTTAGTTGTTCTTGTTTCTAAGCTAATCTGGCTCCCCTCCGGTCCTGTATGCTTGGCTCCATCTGCTTTCTTCTCCTCTCTGAATCCTGAGGAAGCACCTAAAAATGTACAAAGTGCTAAGTATGCTTTATTATACTTTATCTCTAGAAATCTGCTTAGACAAGTATATATACTGTATTTTAAAACACCAGCAATGTTCTAGATCATGGCCACTCAACCTCTGATCTATGAGCACGATCCAGACCACAAAGCCATGTCACCCAGCCCATGGGGCTCCCTACAAGTCTAGAAATTTGGTGGTGGGAAAGGGCTGCAGTGTTAATTGCGACTCCCCTGCTACCAAATTTCTAGACCTCTGAGGAGCCCCGAGGGCCAGGTAACATAGTCCTGTACTTAAGATCAGGCTGACGCACGGCCAGATCTGGGTGTGTAGTGATACGCTGGGACATGGCTGGATTCAGTGTCCAGGACTGGGCTGGTGTGCAGCTGGATCTGGAGCACGGGGTTTATACCCATGGCCCAACCCCACCTGCTGACTCTGCAGGGGATGCATGCTGCAGACTGACCCCATGCCTCTCATCTAG